CTGTCTCACAAAACCAACAAGTCACCATGTTTCTTGGATTCGCAAGTGTTTCCAAACAGACCCCAGAGCACAAGCCTGCACCATTGCCACAACTCTGCAAAAGCAGACAACCTGCCACAGAAGAAACATGCAGGCAATGCATATGCGCTACAGGCATCAACGGTGCCCAGCCTCCAGCAAGGATCCAGAGCACAACCGAAGTACGACAGTGTCACTAGGAAGCACTATCATGCAACCGCTGTCATAACAGTGCTGTCATAACAGTGCTGTCATCCACTTCATGCATGCCTGCTGAACCACATGTCAGTTACAAGTGTTGTCATGCACCTGCTGTGGTGCAACTGCTGCCATGCAAGTGCTGCAAGTCAAAACTGGCGCAAGCTGTTGCTTACCAATACAAACTGCTAACATACACATGATGCAATGCTGCTCAAACACATCATCCGTTCCACGAGACAACTTGCTTTGCCTTGATCTTGCTTGACCCAGGACCCAGCAAAGCAAGCGAACCACTCAAATTCTACACACATGATCTTGTATTCTATCTGGCTTATCATCTGCCATTCTTTGTCCATACGTTCTAGTCCATTTGACTGGCAAACTTCTTTCGGGCATTCTATCCTGCATATCTTCTGGCACACTTTCTGCCAATCTATGTGGCATATCTTCTGGCATTCTATCTGGCATATCTTCTGGCATTCTATCTGGCACATCTTCTGGCATTCTATCTGACATTTTATCTGGCATTCTCTCTGGCATACCTTCTGGCATTCTATCTGGCATATTTTCTGGCAATCTATCTGACATTTTATCTGGCATTCTCTCTGGCATACCTTCTGGCATTTCTATCTGGCATATCTTCTAACATTCTATCTGGCATAGCTTCTGGCATTCTATCTGGCATATCTCATGGCATTTTATCTGGCATATCTTCTGGCATTCTATCTGGCATATCTTCTAACACTCTATCTGGCATATCTTCTGGCATTCTATCTGGCCGTTGAGGTCCAGCGGTGCACACTGAGCTGGGAAGGTCCAGGTTGAGGTCCAGCGGTGCACACTGAGCTGGAAGTCCCAGGTTGAGGTCCAGCGGTGCACACTGAGCTGGGAAGGTCCGAGGTTGAGGTCCAGCAGTGCACACTGAGCTGGGAAGGTCCCAGGTTGAGGTCCAGCAGTGCGCACTGAGCTGGGAAGGTCCCAGGTTGAGGTCCTGCGGTGCACACTGAGCTGGGAAGTTGGCAAAGAGCTTGGCGAAGAGAGTTGGCAAAGAGCTTGGCGAAGAGTTGGCAAGGCGGAAGTGGAGGTGGAAGTTGATGCAGACATGGTCGAGGAGAAACTAGAGGAGGAGGCGGAGGAGGAGGAGAAGGAGGAGGAGAAGGAGGACAGCTAGCCGAGGAGGAGAAGAACAACTCTGATAAAATCTAACAACCCTCACCTGGCAGGTGGGGAAAAAAGAAAAGAACAATAAGAAAATTCAAAACATAACCATGAAGATAAAAACGAAAAATATGAAATACAAAAACACTTTTTAGTAATTACAACGATATGTATACTATTTAATCTAAAATATGGTTTACACAAAAAATAGTATATAATATTTAATTTATCATATCTAAATTTTGATATCTAAAATTTAATATACTAAACCGTAAAAATGTAAAACCGGCATAAAAAATACAATAATTTAAATATATATAATATAGTTCTAGCTAATAAATTTAAGAAACATAAAAAAATGATAACAACAATTAAAACATATAATATATATATATACAATGCAAACTATGTAACATTTAAAATACAAAAACATCTAATATTTTGAACTTAATATAGTACACCTAGTACATACAATATATATATATATAAATTTCAAATTTCAAATATATAATTGATAAGATTAAATTTATCAAAGCTAATTTACAATATTTTTACATACACATAATATATGATTTAAAAAACAATATATTCAAAATCTCAAATTTATATCTGAATTAAACATCACATATAATAAATATAATATATTTAACTAAAATATTGTATAACATATGAAAAATATAAATGTTCAAAATAGCAGTTTTTTTGTATTATATATAGTGTATATTGAATTTTTGTTTTTGAAGCATATATAAATAAAAATATATTATACACATTTTTTGTATTTATTAAAAAATATTTTTAAAATTTTATTTTGCTCATTCTGTGTTATATATATATATTTAAAATCCTATATATATATAATTTTTAATAACATGTATAATATGTGTTGTTTGCCTTGATCTTAAGTCATTTCGTCATGCGTTGCTATGGCTCCGTGAACCGTAGATTCCTTTCTGCGGGCTCGCCGTTCTGCCGCCGCAGTGTTGTCATGATTCTGTCATGTTACCTGAGTTTCGTTGATTCCTGCGCCCGTGTGCCCGTGGATTCCTCGCGTGCCCGTGTGCCCGTGGACTCCTCGTGTGCCCGTGTGCCCGTGGATTCCTCGTGTGCCCGTGTGCCCGGAGGCCCGTGAGGAGACCTATCTCTATATATAGTAGATGGTACATATGTAATACGAACAATACAAAAATTGGGATCTATGTAATATTTAACATATGTATATCGCATACCAAAAAAGGTTCAATACTGAATAGATATATTCTTTACAAAATGTAGTATGTATAATTTTTGAAGGTTCTATGATACAGACAATATATGTTGGTGTTTTTGTACATATTTCACAAAATACTTTGTATGATATATGTGATATACATATAAAATACATAAAATACATAATGAAGAGTATAGAAATATGAAAATGTATGATCTTTTTGTATTGCATTTAAAAGGAAAATAGTAATTATATCATTTAAATTGTTTATATATATATGATATACAATTTAAATTATATTTTATATGCGATATATATTTAACAGAAAATATGCAATATATGATTTAAAATATACAATAGACACTATACTTGTAATAAATATATACAGGTATAAAAATATTTTACAACCTATAGAGTATAGTATGTATATATATATTAATTTTTCAATACTCATAATTTTTTCTGAATAGAATATATATTTCATTATATATATATGTATATATTTGTTTTTTGAATATACATGATATATATATATATTTGTATATATATATTTGTATATTTTGTAAAATGTTTTTTTAATTACATACATAGAAAAGAACTTGTTTTATACATTATGCATTTAATATATTTAATATATTTAATATCTTATTGCAATGATATATATATAAGATATTTATATATTTTTTTATTTAAATATGATATATTTGCGTAATATTTACATAGTTTTTAATTGTCTAATATTTCACATATTGTTTTCAAAATACATCATAATATATATACATATACCGAATATATTTAAAATATGTGTAATGTATATGTTTTTTTTTTAAATATATGAAATCTCATCTTTAATACATAATACATAATTATTCTTAAATAATATATCAAATATCATTTGTTATTTGTCAAATATTGTTTAATTATATTTGATATTCAATATTCAGTTTGTAATTTACAATATAAGATTTCAATTTATAATATATCATTCAAAATATATAATGAATATGTTTCTATAATACAGTATTTAATATTGAGTATTGTATATAATATTTAATGTTTAATATTCGATATGTAATGTATAGTATATATCATATGATTTTAAATAAGACATCTTAATATACAAATCCAAATACAAATGAAAATACAAAACAACACAATACATACATACATATGCATCTCGGAACATTGGAATCAGCTGAAGTGTGACGCGCTTGAAGAGTGTGCCATCCCCGCAACAAGAGACAAAATTGTTGAGCTCCTCGTGGTATGCAAATCTTGACGCCAGTGACAAAATTTGGCCTCCAGAACATGGCAGCCATCTCAGACGAGCACTCAAAGTGCCAAAATTAAATTTGTAGTCAGCCAAATATAGTAGGCTAGCGTGAGACTCTTGACTTGATGCACTCCTTCCAAGTAGTTATGACATTGTCGTATAAGCGCCAGTGGACTGGCGTTCCCCAGACATGCATTGTGATGTACTGTAACCCACAGCGCAAGCAGTGGCTTGCACATGTGATTGAAATCACAGAGAGAGAGAGAGATAGCTGCACATGTTGCATTGATCGGCAGGGTTGCTTGCCACCGTTCCATGCTGCATGTGAGTGCAAGGGAGACATCCATGTCAATGAGAATTGAGGAAACATAGGCGGAAAGAGAGGGTCTGCACACACTCCTCTTGTAACAACCTTTTGACCCGCAAATTGAAAGAGGCGCTCATTGTGCAGCAGCCGGCATTGGTTTCTCACAATGCCCGGTTAGGCAACCCTGGGCAGGATCAAGCACCGTCGGTATGACAGCTGCCCAGCTCTAGGTTCCATTTTGTCCGCCCCTGTTCCCATCAGCCGAACGCTTGGGCGACTCTTCGGCTGGAACTTTGACCAAAACAGACGGCAGGGCACAAGGGATGTGTTTGCAAGGGATGTGCAGGATGTACCAGATTGTACAGACAATCATGGTGTAGTAAATTCCTCGTTTGTCGATTTTGAACCGTGGGCAGATGGTCTACTGTAGATGCAAACAGTGATGCGCTTTGATTAAATCAACTGAACTACACAGCTCGTCCAAGACACTCTAGTTGCTTTCAGTTGCTCTTCCAGTCTCAGTTGAGTCATGAGTGATGAGCCCACTATGTGCCACGTGAGAATATTTGTACTGCAACAAAGGCGTCTAAAGTCTAGCCTGAACGACGTGACGCTGCGACACCAACATTGAGATCATCTCAACCTCAAGGCTTTCTGGATTCCAAGGATCGTCTTGCCACAAGCTCAGAAAACAGATGCCAAGTTCAAACGACAAATCTGTCACAGCCACAGCCATGGCTGTGACCATTTTCATTCTCAAAGCGCTCATGCAAATCAAGGAACTCTGACTAAACGATCTCCCTGAAACGTCCGACGCTTGTGATGCCCCTGCC